TTTCCCATAATTTACCTTAAAATGTATTAATAGTATCATTTTTCTAGATGAATTATTTTTATAATAGCTACCATTTATATTTTGCTTAGGAAAGCATAATTGGATTAGTTTTAAGGTTTATATTAGAGGCTAATAATATGCTAATTTGCCTGTTATATTTGCTAAGCTTAGGATTATGTCTCTCTCATGAGACACAAAAATAACTCTGAAGGGAATATGTTGTCTAAGTGTTAAAAGAAGAAAACAATAATTAGAAAAATAGTGGTGAAATATTTTAAGATCTTAATACAGAGATAGTCTTACTAAGACAAGAAACATTTAAAGCTATTGATGGATGTATAGATTGTATGCAGCTTTATAGGGGTATAGAATTTTAACTTATGTAAGATAAAGCACACTTACTATGTGTACAACTTAGTAAGTTTTGACATATCTAAACATCTCTGAAATCATCACCACCTTCAAGACAATGGGCATATTTGTCTTCTTGAATACATTCTTTCTGTCTCCTTGGAGGTTCTACCACATCTCTCCTACCGTGGGAAACCACTGATCACTTTCTGACAGCACAGGTTCATTTTCATTCTCCTATAAATGGAAACATGTAGCTTACTGACATTTTTTCTTTTGCTATGAATTTTGAATTTACCATAACTATTCTGATAATAATTCAAGTCTTCCATAGAGGTTTCATGTAGCAGAAAACATGTATGTACTGTTACTTTGCTCTTTATTCTTTATCCAGCATAATTATTGTGAGGTTGGTAATTGTACAAATCACTAGTTTCTTACTTTTATTTCCTCATAGTATGTCTTTCCATCTACCATGATTTCATTATCTTTCAGTTATTTGCACCTTGACAACATTACAGGTAAAGCAGCTATAAACATTTAACATTACAGATAAATGAACATTTGTGTATAAGGCTATATGATTAATGTTTTTTTTCTTTAGGTTGCTTGGTAATAAAATGTTTAATGTTTTCAGATTTTTTTTGTCAAACTGTTTCCTCAAATAATTTTGTGATTTTACTTTCTGGAAAAGGCTGTGAAAATCTCATTATTTAAACACACATGCACACGCTCGTGCATGCGCGCGCGCGCACACACACACACACACACACACAAAAGTGAGAGCAAGAGAGAGAGAGAGAGAGAGAGAGAGAGAGAGAGAGAGAGAGAGGGAGGGAGGGAGGGAGGAATGGAGGGAGAGACAGAGACACAGAGACAGAGACAGAGAGAGTAGACTTTTCCAGTTAAAACATTTGGGCCTGGATACTTCTCTTTGGCACTATTTATTTATTTATTCAATATTTTCAAAAGTTATATGACCATTTAGATGATTTCTTTCAATGAGTTACATTGTGTGATGCTGGGGACTTAATCCAGGACCTTGAACATGCTAGGTCTACACTCCACCACTGAACTACTTGCACTTAGCCAACCCCTAATGCATATTTTTTTTGCATTCCTACCAGGAGTCAGAGTTCCAGATCCACCATATCCTTCTCAATGTGATATTCTCTGTCAATTCATCATTTTGATAAGTGTGTAGTAGGATCTTACTGTAGGTATTTTTGGCATTTCCCTGATGATCTAATGATACCAAACCTCTACTTATGTTTGCCATAAGTGCACACTTTTAAACTTGATAAAGTCTAATATATCAATCTTTGCCTATAAATTAGTTTTAGCTTATCAATTTCTTCTTTTATAAATGTTTGTGTCTAAGATATCTTTTTCCATGCCAAAGTCAGAAGGACTTTTTTTAATAGAATTTTTTTTTCATTTAAGCCTATATATTTGGACATAGAAAAAGTTTGTATTACCTTTTATCTATGATCTAAGATATGGATTCATATTCTTATTGTCACAACCTATTGTTATGAGTTTTCCATTATTGTATTATCATTGCTGATCTTTCTGAAAAAAAAATCTAGTCATCTGTATAGCTATTAGGACTTTATTTGGACTTTCTGTAGCCATTGATCCATCTTGACACTGATGGCAGTGCTGCACTGTCTTGATTATCATAGGTGTCGATGATAAGGCTTTAAAATCGGGTAATAGCAGACCTTCAACTCCATTTTTCTTGTAAGATATTATTTTGGTTAAGTCCTTTGCAATTTCCTATAAATCTTCGAATGAGCTTACTGACTTCTATCAAAAACCTTGTTGGTGTTGCAACCTGAAGTCCTTTGAATTTTTGATAACTGGGGCAACTGTCCCCTCTCTGGTATTTTCCATGGTTACTTCTTATTTCCTTGTCTTTTCCCCGTCATGCACTGCTGTCTGCATGCTTCTCTGACATGTGACAGTGTGATAGTGATCAAAGACTGGTCTTGTTGGTTTTTGTCATCTCTAAGAAACCACTAACTGTCACTGCCACATTCTCAATGGCTCAGAAACCATTGGTACATGTGTTTCTTTTGTTTGGTTTTGTCCTTTACCTGCCCCCCCCTTGTGTCAGACTGAAAGAAAATGAGGCCCTATTGCCATATCTTAGAAAGAAGTAGTTGAAATGGTGTTTTCCAGAAGGGGATGCCTTTGCCCTTGTGTGTCTGATTTATAAGTGTACGTGATTTTTTGAGCCACCAGGTGAAGGCATTCTTCTGGGTCTCAGAGACACAGTGGTGAACATAGTAGACTTGTTTCATAAAGCTTAAAATCTATTACAGCCATAATGGAAATTAGTGTGGAAGTTTTGAAAGAAAGAAAATGAGAAAGAAAAGCAGAGGGAGCGGGGAGGGTAAGACAAAGCAAGAAAGAAACTGTCTTAGTTAGGGTTACTGTTGCTGTCATGAAACACCATGACCAAAAGCAACTTGTGGAGGAAAGGGTTTATTTTTCTCAAACTTCCGTATAACAGTTCATCCTCAAAAAGAATGAAGGCAGGAACTCATGCAGGGCAGGAACCTGGAGGTAGGAGTTGACTCAGAGGCTATGGAGGGGTGCTGCTTACTGGCTTGCTTCCTTTGGCTTGCTCAGCTTGATTTCTAATAGAACCCAGGACCACCAACCCAGGAATGGCACCACCCACAGTGGGCTGGGCCCTCCTCCATCAATCACTAATTAAGAAAATGCTTCACAGGCTTGCTTGAACCCGCATCTATGGAGGCATCTTCTCAGTTGATGTTTCCTCCTCTCGATGGTATAGCTTGTGTCAAGTTGACATAAAACTAGTTAGCACAAAAACTAGCAATAAAACTACTATCTGAATCAGCTATACAATTCCTGAGCATTTACCCAAAGGTCTCTATACCCTCCCTACATGTTTACTGCTCTTCTGTACACAATGGCAAGGAAATGGCACCAGCCTAGATGTCCAACAGCAGATGAATGAATAATGAAAATGTTGTACACATACACAATGGATTATGTTCAATCATATTTAATGAGGTCATTAAATATGCAGGAAAATAGATGGAATGAGAAAATACCATATTGAGGCAACCCAGATTCAGGGAGAGAAACACTACGTATTCTCTCTCATATAGAGATCCTAACAAATTTTGAAAGATGTGCATTTATATGGGAGTGACTTTGTGTAGATGCCAGGAAATAGAAAGGGGCCTGTGAGAGGAGACAAAAGAGATTTCAAGGGAAAAGAGCAGGGAGGGTAATAGAACATGTGTGGTCTGACTGTGATAAGAGGAATACTGGGTGTGGAAACGTTTAAGAGACATTGGTGGGGGGGTGGGGGTGCAGAGAGATGATTGAGAGAAGAGGAGGAGTCAACAGCAGCAACAGTAATAATAATAATAATAATAATAATAATAATAATAATAATAAATCTAGTTAGGAGACAGAAAATAAACTAAATGAAAATGTTTGTTTAAATGTATGTATTTATGTATGTATGATTAAAAAGTGATAAATGCTAACATCAAAACAACAAAAAATAAAAAGGGAAGAAAGAAATAGGAAGTGTTAGGTAGAGGGAGGTACATCAAAGTTTAGATAAACTGAGTTGGAAAGTCTTTATGAGAAGTGTATTTGACTGGAATCCTGCAAAACAGAGCAAGCAAGCTATATGGATAGTTGAAGAGAGAACTGTCAATACAAAGGTTGTGGTATGTATAAGGTATAGTAAGGGATATTTGTAACTAGTACAGTACTGGAACAGAAGCTCACAAAAATGCTATCTAGCTATTTCAGGTCTCTGATAGGAGAACCAAAGGAATGACCTAGAATTATGTGGCTCAATACTCATCTATGTACTATTTTATTGTCTGTTACTTTCAACCATGAAATATATTTGGCTTGTGATTGTACATACAATGTTCCTGTTAACACTTTTACACAGGCATTCCACATGTTAACAATTCTAATCACAGCTATTCTTGTACTCCTCCAGCTCATCTTATATATAATATCCAAGGTACTTTGAATTTTCTTCTCAATTTTATTTTATTTATGTTTTAAATAATGAACATGCCATATTATGAAATTTTCTGTAGGAGAACAAAATAATTATGAGAGAAAACCAGTTTTCTTCTTTCTATTCCTCAGCATTGAGACAAACAACATATCTAGATCATTAAGTGTCCTTTTAGAAATATTGAGTACGTATTTGTATATGTACTCAATGTACTAAACATGAGTGTGTTTAGTAGCCCTTTACCCTCACCTTCACCCATATAAAGCAGCTTGACAACTCTGTTGGGTAGTTGCTGTTATCCTCATATTCCAATTGAGAGAGGATGCTGAGGCTCAAATAGATTCAGGTAGATGTTCCCTGAAGTCTCACTGGTAGTTAAATATAAAAATCCAGGGTTGCATTGCTATTTTTTTATCTGCACTCTTTCTCCACACTGAGGGGGTCAGTTCCATGCATTCATTGTGGTAGGAGACATTGAACACTTGCTGGTAGTTAGAGGAAGCAAGAAAATTCCTTCACTCCCATTAACCATTTTAGTATTCACATGGTCAACCAGATACAGTGCTGGAATGCATCAGTGAGTACCTTGCCTAATTGTATCTTCCTTCCTTCTCTACAGATATATTTAGGTCCACCTGAGGACAGCCAAGTACCTCCAGTGCCTCCACCTCGAGTGACAGCAAGAAGGCACAAACCAATCACAATCTCGAAGCGTTTGCTGAGAGAAAAGACAGTGTTCTACACTTCTTCCCTGGATGAAAGTGAAGGTCAGTGCTTAGCTTCTGCATGACAATTACATGCAAAGAAAATATTGAAGGGCAGAAATGGGAGTGTGGCTATTTTCTCCATACAATGATAGACCTTTCCTAGTTCTTTGGCTTACAAGCAGTCAGGAGAAGCAAAGCTTATAGTTTGTATTCTAAGAGGAAATTAGGTTATTGGCATTTGACGGGGCAGAGGTAAATCTTTAATGGAAGCTACAAGATCCCTTGCAAGGCTAGTGGCAAATCCAAGTTAATCTTAGGTGTGTTCGTCTTGTACATTGAAATATGTGAACAAGGTTCTTGCTAATGTTCTGAGAATGTAATTTAAATACAGCTACAGTGGATTGAATAACTGCCATGTTCCAAGTAATTTGATAGAGGACAAATGAAATTAAGACACATGGCCCTGCCTTCGTGGAGCTTATAGGATAGAGAAAGATATGGCTATGTGAAAAATTAACATCATCCAATGGAATGATTGATTATTCTTCATGAAGAGACTTCACCTTTCCTTAGTGGGCCTTAGTTCCCTGCCACCCCACTATTCTTGTGAGCTGGTGAGCAACATGTGACAGTTAACTCCTGTCTCTTCATGGACTTGGCCTTCAGGACACTAAATTTGGCCCTTCTCATTCCATCTCATCCTCCTCTACTGCTTTTCCTTCTTTTTTCTAATTTTGATGTTTGAAGACTCCAAAGGTCTTAACTCTCTTCCCTATGCTGTTTTTATACATCATCTCTCTAGGTCTTGTGTGTAAATATCGTTTAAATGCTACAGATGACTCTCCAATTTTTTAAATACAGGATTTGTTCTCCCCTTTCTTATTATCTCAAAATCTCTGTTGAACTATTCTCCACAGATTGACTCACTGACTTCTAAAATTAGAAATTCAAGATGAGTAGAACCTGATTTGTATTTTATTTTAATGGTGGTGGCTGGAATCTAAGACTTTGCACAATAACAAGTGATCATTCTATCACTAAGCTACACACCTCTTTCTCAGCCCAAAGCACAGTTCTTGATTATATGTTGCTTCTCACCCTACTCCTTTTGTGATCCCTCCCTTCTAAACAACTTTCAGCTCCCGTCACCTGAATACCAAGGTCAAGGACGTTGATCTTTCCTTGAAAGGTGGCTCTTTTCCTTCACCTCTTGCATTAGATCCATCACAGTTCATTTTGGCTGTGGATGGACGTCACGTGCTAAATCCTTAGTTTCCCTTTGGACCACACACGCTGGGGCTGTGCCATCTCTTCCCAGCTGTCTGTGCTGGCCTGCTCGAATGCCTCTAATCCATTCCCCAAAGCAGCCAGTAAATCCTTTGTCCATCCTTTCAAAAATGCGAAGCACATGACCTCACTCCCCCTGCTCCAAACTTTCAGTGACCTCTCTTCATGTTTCGAATAAAATTTGTTTTTTATGCTGTTTTCAGTGACCCCTGCTTATCTATCTGAACTTGCTTTATGTACTTTTCTGTCCCCTTTGCTCTCTCTCCTCTAGTTTCATGAGCCTTGATATTCCTTATGGGTCTCAAGTTTACAAATGCCATCTCCTTGTAGACACCATTTCTGAGCACCCAAGTAAAATCTTCCTTCCTATCCCTTTACATTGCTTTGTTTTATTCATGTCACCTGCTACTACTTGATGACATATTTAGTATCTACTTTTCCCCTCAGAATGTTAAATCCATTTTATCACCAGGACTGGGAACAATCCCTACTATACAGTGTGTGTGTTTAGTACATGTTTATAATGGGAGTGAATGGATGTATTAGGAATATGAATAGAAAGAAATCACTTCCATAAAGGAGGAAGAGAAAGTTGAAAATGGATGGGAGTGCTAAATGTTTGTTTTGTTGCCCCATAATTAGATTTTTTATGAAATGAATTTGTTTATAATGTTTCCTCGCAAAAACTTTATACCAGCAGAACCTTTTATTTAGCACTTTATATCCTACACCAGCACAACACTTGCTACATAATAAGTGTCCAGTTAATGAATGTATCAAATGAATGAACTGGGTGTCAGTAGACCTAAGGTCTAATTTCATTTTGGTCACTAACTTGTTAGGTAACTTGAACTAACCACTTCCTGTATCTGGAGTTCAATTTGCCCTGCTCTAAGGTAAGGGCTTTGTAGCAGATCTTCAGTGAGATTACAATCTACACATTAATTTTTTTTCATTTTTGGTCTGATAAAGAATTGTGCTCAGGCCATACAATATACCCCTTTACATTGCAAATCTCAGTAAGATGTATTTTGTGCAACCACCTTATCTGAAAATATTTGCATTATCCCAAAAGGAAACCTTCCAATCCCTCCTCTTTTTCCAGCCTCTGGCAATTACTTTCTATCCCTAGAGACTTATTTATTCTGAAATTTTCATATAAATGGACTCATATTCAATATAGGTAGCTTTTATAGGTAGCAAATTATTCTAGGGTGTATGTACTTTCTGCTGCTATATGGTATTACAGGGTGTGACTGTAACACATTATATTTATCCATTCCTCAGTGAATGGTCACTTAGGTTGTATTTGTGTTTTAGCTATTATGAATAATACTGCTGTGAGTATTCAGGCTGTTGGGTGAATGTCTGACTTCAGTTGTCTTGAGTATATTGCTGAGTTATATATTTACTCTGAAGTTAAACTTTTGCAGAATAACCATGCTAATTTCCAAAGCATGTATGCCATTTTATTTTCTCACCAATAAAGGATAGTGGTTCAAATTTCTCTATATTCTGATCAGTGCTTGTTACAGTAATCTGACCTTTTCATTCTGGGCATCTTCAGTGGTTATGAACCTATAATCTCATTTAATCTTCAATATTACAGTATGAGGTAGGTGCCTGAACTTCAGGAAGTCCTTTGTAGCTCAGAGAAGGCAATTAATTTGTCCAGTTAACACCACTACCAAATTAGAAGGCAGCAGTTTACACCCTTACATTTTATCCCAAATCCAATATGCCTACTAAATGTAATACTATACTTCTTAAAATGTGCCTCAGCACCATTCTAAATAGGAACCAATCCTACTCACCACTTTCCTTGACAAGTAGCATTTCATTACTTGATTTCCAAATTTATATTCTGTTTATAAATAATATTTTAGTAAACCCTTCCCCCATCATCATGGACCCTTTCATATCCCATATCAAATCTTTGGCCATTCTAAATCTGTTTTATTTGTTTGACACAGGGTCTTGCTATGTGGCTTAGGCTAGAACTGAACTTTCAATCCTTCTTCCTCAGCTTCCCGAGTGCTAGGATTACAAGAATGTGCAACTAACTACACCTTACATCTATCTAGTCTACCTTTTTAACAAAAAGACTGTATTTGTTTACTGGTGTGTTTCCGTTCAGGTCTTTGTCATCAGCATTCCCATATGTCCTCAAACCTCTAGCTTGTCTGCCCTAATCTGCTTTTCATACTGAACCCAAGTGGATGTTCTGGAAACATGTATTTGATACTGCTTCCTTTCCTCCTACCTGGGGTATGTTCATATTCCTAAGTGTGACATCAGGCCTTAATGAAATACCACCAAGCTACCATAGACCAAGATCTAGCTACTCACATCTTTTATCATAAATGCTCAAGACAAACTGAACTTATTATTTGCTTTTTAAAGATATTTTCTTGTTTTCAAATTAGCATTTGTTTTTGAAATTATAATGTATTTACATCATTTCCCCCTTCCCTTTCCTTCCTTTATAGACTGCCATATACTCCTCCTTGCTCTCTTTCAAAATCTTGGTCTCCTTTTTAATTGATTATTGTTACATGCATATATGTGAACATATATGTATATATATGAATATAAAAACATCTATATTCCTAAGTATAATGTACTCAGCCTGTATCATGTAATATTTTCTAACAAAGCATGATTATTTTTACTCCTCCAAGCTGTTGTTTGTCTGAACAATTTTGATTCATTTATACTCTCCACCCGTTTCTCAGCCAGAGTTCAACAATTAACTCTAAATGATCATTATAACAATTATATCTAAATGAAAAGAAAACAGAACAGTAATTCCTTAAGATTAGCTGTCTAGTCAATGTTTAAATTTTCCCATTGTCTTATTACAAAAAACAGGTTACAAATAAGGTCCCTGCGTTATCATTGGTGAATACACCTCTCAAATTTCTCCTTTTGCTGAACAGAGACAGTGTGCTTAACTGCTGAGCTCTAATACAGCTTTATTTACATGTCTTTTTAAATTTATTTTTGTGGTGCTGAGAATGAAACCCACAAATTTGCACATTCTATACCAGTGCTGTATCACTGAGTTGTTAATCCCAGCCCTAAGTTTCTTATTATTAATGAAGGTAACAATTTCCATTGTAGATATTGTTAATCTGGGGGATTCGTTGATTGTTTCTGGGGACAGTGAATAACTTAAAGTTAGCTTTCAGAATTTTAAATATATGTGTGTGGGCTTATTTTTCTAGCAAAAGATTTTCTGGCTGTTATTGTGTTCTCTGAAGCTTTAACTATATTCAGAATCACTTAAATGCCTATTCTAATGGGCATAGGAAATTATGGACCACAAAGGCTAAAGGAAGAATGTAAATTGGCTATTCGAAGATATTTTTACATGGATGGAGAAAGAAATTAAATTCTATTAGGCTTGTTAGCTTGAGATTTGAGAAACCTTAAAAATGCTTTTAAAAGAACTACTTGAGAATTAGTTGATGCACTTATTTAGAAAAAGTAAATTATGCAATTGATTGGGCACTCTGTCCTTTTTAAATTGCATCCTCTTGAATAAAACAGCTTGGAATACTAGCGTTTATTCAGTTGTGTTGGTGAAAATCATATAAAATCTTTAATTGAACCTCATTTGAATGAGACCTGTGACTATATACAAATTGGGCAGGGTGCATACTCTTCTTGTGGCATGTAGTCAGTCTATACTACAATAATAACCATTTTCAAAGTGTGCAGATTTTCAAAGTTAAATATGTATCCATGCATCAAAACAAAACAATTTTGAAGGTAATCATTAATCTTTCTTCTTTTTACCAACTTTTTTCAGATGAAACCCATCAAACTCCTAATGGTACAATCACTAGCAACCTGGACCCCCCCAAGCTACCGCAGCACCTCAGACTACCCATTCAGAAAAGTGGGGAAACTGATCCTGGAAGAAAGTCCCCAAACAGACCTGTTTCTGACTGCCAGTCCGAGCCCGGCCCAGAGGTGGATGTGGGGAAGTTGGTATTTAGGTTGCAGGATGGAGGGACCAAGACTACTCCAAAGGCCACTAATGGACCTGTGCCAGGCTCTGGACCCACAAAGACTCCTTCTTTCCATATAAAGAGACCAGCTCCCCGGCCAGTGGCTCACCACAAGGAAGGTAAATGTTTAGCAATCCTATGGGAGGCAGAACTGATCCGAGGTACTTTTCATCTTGGAAACTTTCCTTGCTCTGCCCTCCCTCTCTCCCTCTTGTCACGCTTCCTCCTATTCCTTGCTTTTTTAATTGTAATTTTTAAAATTAGCTTGCAATGTAATTAGTAGGTTTGAGTATGAGGTTTTAATACACATTTCATTTGAGTTGATTGATCCTCCATTTTCTTGATTTCCCCTTCCCTGCTGTATAATTTTACCCTCACTATTCCCCCTTCCACTTTGTTCTATTGTCTTCCCTACTTGCTCCCGTAGAGCCTCCTTTTTCCCAGTCACATGGGTCTCTTTCTAGTTTCCTGCCCTTTACTCATATTTACTTTTTTGTGTAGGTGTATTTCACAGTTACAAACTAAGATATGCATATGAGAGACAATATACTGCAACTGTCTTTCTGAGTCTGGGTTAACTGGCTTAAAATAATTGATTTTCATTTCCATCCATTTTCCTGGCAAATTTCATTCTTCCTTTATCGACGACTAAAATTCTTTTGTGTATAGATACCACATTTTCAATATCCATTTATCTGTTGATGGACATCTGGGCCTAGCTGTTATGAATAGAGATGCAGTGAACATGGATGTGCAACAAATGATGTTGTCGGATATAGAGTCCTTTGAGTTTATGCCCAGGAGTGGTAGAGCTGGGAGAAAAGAAAGTTCTATGTTTGCTTTTATAGATGCCTCCACACTACTTTCCATAGTGGCCTCAGCAGCTTACACTCCCACCGGTAGTATGTAAGTCTTCCTCTTTCCCCACATTGTGTTCTTGATGGCTAGCCATTCTCACCGGGTGAGATGGGATCTCAAAGTTGTTTTAATTTACATTGCTTTGATGGATAAAGATGCTGAACATTTTAAAAGATATTTATTGACCATTTGTAATTCTTCCTTTGAGAAGTATCCTGTTTTGGGTTACTTCTGTTTATTGCTGTGAAGAGACACCACCACCAAGTCAGCTCTTATAAAGAAAGCATTTAATTGGGGACTTGCTAACAGGTTCAGAGGTTCAGTCCATTATCATCAAGGCAGGGAGCATGGTAGCATGCAGGCAGACATGATGCTGGAGGAATAGCTGAGAGTTCTACATCCTGATCCACAGGGAGAGAGGGAGACTGGGCCTGGCATGAGCTATTGAAACCTCAAAGTCCACCGCGAGTGACACACTTCCTCCAGCAAGGTCACACTTCCTAATCTTTTTAATCCTTTCTAACAGTTCTACACCCTGATGACTAAATATTCAAATATATGAGCCTATGGGGCCCATTCTTATTCCAGCCACCAGAGTGTCTGTTCAGATTGTTGGCTCATATTCTAATTGATAACTGGTTTTTTTGTATTTACTTTTTAAAGTTTTAAAACTATTTATTATAGATATTAACTCCTTGTATGTTGTCTAGCTGATGAAGACTTTCCCCCATTCTCTAGGCTGTTTATTCTACTGAATTGTTGGTGGTGGTAGTGGTGGTTGTGGTGTACAGAAGTTTTTAAATTCATGTGGTTCCATTTGCCAGTTCCTGGGCTATTTTCTGTTCAGAGATTTGTTGTCTGTAATTGTATTCTTAAGTGTTTACCCTTTGTTTCAGTGTTTCCAGTTTAAAATCTAGGTCTCTGATCGACTTTGAATTAATTTTTGTGCAAACTGAGAGATAGGAAATCTAATTTCATTATTTTGCAAGGAGTTATTGATTTTTGCTGATAGTTTGTTGAAAGGGCTGTCTTTCCTCCAGCACGTGTTTTTGACACTTTCATCAAAAATTAGCTTTCCATAGCTGTGCGTGTTTATCTCTGGTTCTTCTGTTGTGTTCCTTGGTCTACATATCTGTTTTGTGCCAGTAGCTGGTGTATTACTGCAGCTCTATAGTCTAATTTGAGGTCAGCTAACGCGATGTCTCTGGCTGTGTTTCCTCTGCTTAGAATTGTTTTGATTATGTTATTTCATATTTCCTACAAATTTTAGGATTGTTTTTCTGTCTCTATGAATAATGGATCTCAACATGTAGCCCATTAAGGCTTTGTACAGTATATCCTCCTTCCTCAGCCTCCTGAACCTCTGAATGCTGGGATTATAGGCATGCACCACTGCACCTAGCCAGAGATCCTTTCAAAGGGAATGTGTTACTGTTCACTAGCACAGTGCTAGAGTACGGGTAAATAAATGTGGTGTAGAGTTGGGAACTGGGAAGCAGGAGAGTAGAGAAATACCAGGAATGGAGTTGGTGTGAGAAGTATGCACGAAGCCTTTCACACATACTGAATAGCACCACAGATTTCTTTCTAGACAGGAGAGAGAAACAGAGAGAGGGGAGGGAGGGAGATATTTCAGAGTATACATAAAGGCCGAAAGAAGTTGGAGGAAAAACAAGGCTGTCCAGATAAAGCGGAGGAAAGAAATTCTGTGGCAGGCTTAGTACATGCTGACAGCATTGTCTTTGGGCAGTTTAGTAAATGCTGTTTTGTGTGGATGCCAGCAAGATTTCCACAGAGCAATTGACACTTTCTAATTCTCTGGTTTGGTCCTCTAATGCATTTGTATGCTCATGTTATTTTCCATGTCTGTACCTTGGGCTTTATAGCTTTAAAATGGGAAAAAGAATACCTACAAACAATTTTTTAGGATTATAAGGCATAACAAACAAAATACCTGGCTCATAATCAGAAAATGAAATATGTTATTAATTTTCTCCCTCTGTCCTGTCTTTCCTCCCTACAATTTGCCTCTTATGGGAGGCAGCCAGGAAAGGCCAGACATCTATGGAGACATCTGCTTCAGTTTAGAAGTCATATATTGATCATCACATTAACCAAGTAGAAAGTTGGGTAACTGCACTTCTGCCCCCATGGTAAACTTTGCCCTGCCCGTTGTCAAGCCAGGTCCTGTCAGCTCAGCACACACAGTAACTTTTAGCCTTCTACATCAGTTCTGCCTCCAACATCTTTGGATATAGAAATCCCTGTGCTATCCCTTCTGTTGCTTCTCTCACACTCCCATCCTTTGGGCTGCTGGCAGCAGCAGCTGTGATCTAATGGTATCAGTTAATATAAGAACTGATCTGACTTGTCCAGAGTCATCCAGGCTTTCTCAGTCTGAGCTGCAGCATTGCCAGATTTTTTTTTTTTTTGCTCTTAAATCAGTTAGCAACAAGCCTGTGTGGTACAGTTTCCCTTAAAGCCTCTGGCCTTCAGCCTTGGCAGAACTGGGATGGGTTGGGCCATGGTGGAGGCCTATAGCCAAATCTTTGGTGTAGTTGCATCTTTAAACCTTCCCCACCTATCTCTTCACCTCTGCTTCCCACCTGAGTTTCGCTGATGCTCATGGTAAGTTCCTGGACACCAGAAGAGTTATCAGTTAATCAGTTGCTACACATAGTTCTCCCTCTGGGCTGAAGCTGATGATTAACCCCGTGTGCTAACAAGCAACCTGAACGGCAGGCTTGGAGAGAGAGTTGTCTCTTCTGCTTACCCACTCTACACCAAGCAGTTGTTATTCTTTTTCACCTTTGTTGAAGATACTCTGTTGCATCCGCTATTCTGAATGTGTCACTCTCCTAACCTCTCCCCATCTTTATGCTTTTCACCAATCTAACATGTGAGTGCATTTCATTGTTCTCCACATTTTCCCTCAAAGCAATTAGAAATAGCAGAAGTGTGGTGCATGTTAAAGGGCTTACTTCCATGACAGTCAAGTAACTTTGCGATACCTACTATTGTTTCTTGATGGAATTTTATTCAGGACCCTTTTCTATCCAAGATATGGACCTGTATGCTTTCTCTTATTCATTAAATATTTTTATTGCTGGTAAATGTGTGAGGTAGGTTTTACCCTACCCATCTCAAAGAAAGAGTGACTCAGACATGAAACAAATTGCCCACAGTCCCTTGGGCTATAATATGCAGAGATGTTGCTGGAAACTAGATCTTTAGGATGCTTTATAACACATTCAATTTTAAAGATTTACTTTATGCATATGGACATTTGTCTGCATGTATGTATCATGTGTGCACCTTGTGCCCATAGAAGCCAGAAACGAGTATTGGGTCACCTGGAACTGAAGTTATAGATGGGTGTGAGCCACCATGTGAGTGCTGGAAATCAAATCTGATTCCTCCACAAGAGCAGCAAGTTCTTTTAAACACGTAACCATCTCTCTAACTCCTTAGTCTTATGTTTTTTTCTACCTTAGCTGCCACCTTCTTTTCTGTCAGGCATTACTCTGGGGTATACAAAATTAGCATGTCTCCATTTGACCATTTGATATTGTTATCTGTCAAATTATTTTTTTAGGTTAGCGTTTAAACAAATGGATGGTCCATCATGGCATCTTCATGCATGTGTATTATACTGTGTTGCCATTTCTTGCTCTCTTTCACTATCCTTCCCTGTGCCTCCTCTAACTCGTTCCTTTTCACTCCCCAGTTAGCCCTCCCTCCTACTTTCTTTCCTGTTATATGTATTACATTACTCTTTCTATTTCCTGCCTCCCTTATGATGTCTTCCTCCACTCTTCCCACTTTCTATTTTTGTGGTTCTCCACGTAGGTACCCCCCATACACACACATCTATTAAAATCTAGGTTCTACATGTAAGAGAAAACATGTAGTGTTTCCTCAATGCTACTTTCTCTTATCGCTTCTGGCTTTACAAAATGCAAGTGTGTAGTTTCTACAAAAAAGATTTAGGACTTTTGGGGAGAATGAAGAGGACAAAAGGCTACATGCCTTTTGCTTATATTTGTGCATTCGTTCAGATATCAAACTAAGCAAAGAGAAAGACCAAGATGAAAAGCCATGTTTCTGCCTTCCCTTTGTTCATAGTGAGAATGGCCCATAGGCAATCAGTTCCATCCCAGTGTGAGCTATGTTCTTGGGTGATCGTGAGAGCATTCCAGTAAGAGCAGGGTGTAGGAAGCCCTTCATTCTGCCTGAGGTATAGATAGTAAAGTGAGTGGCA